GCCACTAGCTTCACTTAGCTTCACTTCACAGCAGCCACTAGCTTCACTTAGCTTCAAAGCAGCCACTAGCTTCACTTAGCTTCACTTAGCTTCACTTAGCTTCACAGCAGCCACTAGCTTTTAGTTTTCGCCAAAACTATTGCTCTTTTTTTAAATGCATATTAGTTAAGTTTACCTTGTCTTTCTAGGATGAAAGAAGCAGCTTCGCTTAGCTTCGCAGCCACTAGCTTCACTTAGGTTCACTTATCTAGCTTCACTTAGCTTCACTTATTTAGCTTCACTTAGCTTCACTTATTTAGCTTCACTTAGCTTCACAGCAGCCACTAGCTTCACTTAGCTTCGCTTCACAGCAGCCACTAGCTTCACTTAGCTTCACAGCAGCCACTAGCTTCACTTAGCTTCGCTTAGCTTCGCTTCACAGCAGGCAATAGCTTCGCTTAGCTTCACAGCAGCCACTAGCTTCACTTAGCTTCACTTAGCTTCGCTTCACAGCAGCCACTAGCTTCACTTAGCTTCACTTAGCTTCGCTTCACAGCAGCCACTAGCTTCACAGCAGCCACTAGCTTCACTTAGCTTCGCTTCACAGCAGCCACTAGCTTCACTTAGCTTCGCTTCACAGCAGCCACTAGCTTCACTTAGCTTCACTTCACAGCAGCCACTAGCTTCGCTTCACAGCAGCCACTAGCTTCACTTAGCTTCACTTAGCTTCGCTTCACAGCAGCCACTAGCTTCACTTAGCTTCGCTTCACAGCAGCCACTAGCTTCACTTAGCTTCACTTAGCTTCACAGCAGCCACTAGCTTCACTTAGCTTCACTTAGCTTTGCTTCACAGCAGGCACTAGCTTCACTTAGCTTCACATAGCTTCACTTAGCTTCACTTGCTGTTGATCAGGCTCATATCGAACACTCACCCCTCCTTCAGCACCACAGCGTCCTCCAGCACACTGGACTCTTTGCTGACGTTAGTGGAGATCTCATCAAGGAACTGGACAACAGAATCATTTCAGTGTTAATAATTTAAAATGAAAAATAAAGGAGAACAATTCTACAGAGCTTTAGATAAATGTACCTTTTTTACTTTTTCGATACACTTGTCTTCTTGGAATGATTTGAAGAAGTCGTACATGTAGGTTTCTTTGAAGCTAGACTACAAAGAGACAGAAAGAAATACAAAATAAAAAACACGTAATTTATGATATTGCATTTCAAAAAGTTGGAAAATGTATGAACCTTTTATTTGTAAGTGGACTATATTTTACACTATTGACTGTTCCTCTAAAACATAGACTGCATACAAATGTCGTTATTACAGTTTTACCTAATTTATTTTGGCTCTTTTTAAAAAGTTGTGATATTCTCTTAACTTAAAGTAAATTGTCACAACCGTTTCAAGGGGTATCACAACTCTATTGCATGTCTAGGAGTAACAACATCTTTCTAAACCTAGTGTGTTTGCATGTTGGCCAATACAACCAAAGTGGAAATGTGTTTTTCTACGTGAAGCAGTCCAAAGAGGTAGCGCTTCTGCATGGTCGGACGGCACCGATTTCTCCACAGAAACACAAACGCAACATCTGCACAGAGCTGTTTTACCACTTGTCATGTGAACGCAGCTTACAAATCTCTGTTAAGTTGTGTTTGATTAAACAAAACAGACATTCAAGACTGTTAAACGTGTTGTTCAGAGATTGGAACTCCTTGTTTTAAAAGGACTTGAGCCAAAGCTAATCAGAAAAACCCTAATCCTACAGAGTGAATGAAGCATCATGCTACCCTTCCTCTCACTTTGCCATCATATTTCTTTTTACTCTTACCATTTTTTTTGACAGACTCCCCCAGCTGCCCAGCGTCTGGATTGTTTTTGAGATGAGGGTGAGCGTGCGGGAGATCTCAGGGTCCTGGAAATAAAAAGAGAAATGTAAATCACAACTAGTCTTCCTGTGTGTGTATTAAAAAGGTGTTGGGACGGTGCACTCACAGGGTGGTGGGAGCGGAGCTGGAAGGAGTGCGGAGAAAGAACAGCGACGGCGAAGAACCGCAGGAACACAAAGCTG